TTCTATGTAATTCTTTGTGTTGTTTCATGCATAAACATATTTGCTACTGTCCTGCCACATTTTGTGTCAATCACAAATGTATTTGTCGATTTTTTGCAGTTTATTGCTCCGTGCTTAACTTTTGGCAGTGAGTGTATTATAATACAGTATTTAGTAAGTTATACTCAGTTGATACCGATGGCTGTGTACTATGCTGGACCAGAGTCAAGGCATAGCAACTAAAACAAAACTAAAATTAAATAAGTGGTCAGTGTCTGTGTCTGTATTCAGGAATTTCCTAACAATATGGCATGTATTCAATATAGTGGCCTTCTATAGTGTGATGTATGTATTTCTATTCAATTGTAATGTTCCCAGGCTTTTGTGTAGTGTGTGTGGTATCACACCTGTACAGGAGAGAACGACAGGTACAATAAGGGTTAATCTTTCTGTGGCGGATGCATCTGTGGAGGATGGATAGGATGCTTATTGCACCCTATCCATCCTCCACAGATGCCTTATTTCCTGGGCAAGTTCTGTGTACTTGCTAATTTTTTAAGTGCATGTGTTTTGTACATTGTGAGTGTTTGGAATGGCTATGTCTATAATGTATGTGATTTTATTGTGTTTGTCAATGAGTGTGATGTCTGGTCTGTTGTGGTAAATTGTTTTATCTGTGATTATGGCTCTGTCGTAGTACATTTTGTGCGTGTTGTTTTCCAATACTGTCTGTGGAATATACTTGTAGTATGGTTCGTGGATGTCTGCCAATTTGTGTTTCTTTGCAAGCTCTTGGTGTATTATATTTGCTACTTGATTGTGTCTATGTAAGTAATCTGTCTGTGCCAAGAGCTTGCAACCAGAAGTGATGTGTTGTATAGTTTCTGGCATGATGTGACATTTTCTGCATGTGTCATTTGTGAGTGTTGTATCTTTGAGTATGTGTTTTCTGTAGTTTTTAGTATTTATGACCTGATCCTGTATGGCAATCATGAATCCTTCCGTCTCCCCAAAGAGGCATCCCCGATCTAACCAGCTGTTTGACGCAGTTTTGTCAACAAAATCCTGGGCCAGGTCATAAGGATGCCTGCCATGGAGTGCCTTTCGAGCCCACGATTGCTTGATGGTGTCTATGCTTTTTATGTGTTGTGTCATGTCTGTATGATGTGAGTGTAAGTTTAATGGTGTGTTATTTGAGTCTGCTAGAGTTACTGCTTTATGTAACTGTGATGTTTCTTGTTTCTTGTAGAAAAACTCTCGCAGTGACTGTATTTGTTTGTAGTGAAGGTTAACTATGTCAATCAGGCCACGTCCGCCTTCTTTACGTGGAAGGGTTAATCTTTCTGTGGCGGATTTAGGATGATGTTGTTTATGCTTAGTAAGTGTTGTTCTTGTTTTCCTTTGGAGTTGCTCGAGATCTGTGTGAGTCCAATGTATAACTCCAAAAGAGTATGTGAGTACTGGGATGACATATGTGTTTATTGCTTTAACTGTGTGTTTTGCATTTAACTGTGTTCTAAGTATAGCGTTTAACCTACTTTGGTATTCTTTAATTAATCGTTGCTTTATTTGTGTATGTTCTGTTAGTTTGGCCTGTTGGAATCCTAAGTACTTGTAGAACTCGCCCTCTTCCATGGATTCAATAACGTCTCCATTTCCAAGTGCAAAATCTTCTTTCTTCAGGATTCCTTTTTCTATGTGAAGTTTTTTGCATTTGTCTAGGCCAAACTCCATTTGTATGTCCTTAGTGTATGAATGTGTGATTTGTAGGAGTTGATGAAGTTGTTTTTGTGTGGATGCATAAAGTTTTATGTCGTCCATGTACATGAGATGTGAGAGTGTAAACTGTGTTGTTTTTTCATGTCTGATATTGTAGCCATAATGCGTGTTGTTTAACATGTTGGATAATGGATTCAGGGCTAGGCAGAACCAGAGAGGACTCAAGGAATCTCCTTGAAAAATTCCTCGCCTAATGAATATTTCGTTTGTTTGTATGGAAGTGTTACTAACCCTGAGATGTAGTGTTGTTCTCCAGTGCTGCATAGTGTTTTCGAAGAATGCAATGAGTGATGGATGTATTTTGTACATGTGTAGAATATGTAGCAGCCAACTGTGTGGAACACTGTCTAATGCTTTTCTGTAGTCTATATATGCCATGTGTATGTTTCTGTGTTGTTTGTGTGCTTGCCGTAGAATAACTGAATTTATGAGTAACTGTTCTTTGCATCCCCTGTGATTTCTACGGCAACCTTTTTGTTGTTCTGTAAGAATGCCGTGTTCTTCAACATGTTTGTATATTTTGTTTGTGATACGGGATGTCAATAATTTGTAGAGTGTTGGAAGACATGTAATTGGCCTGTATTGTGTAGTGTTGTTGTTTTTAGGTTTCATGTAGGTGATGCCCTGAGTAAGAAATTTTGGCATGTCTTGTGGATTGGTTTTGTGGATTAGATGTTTAGCTAGTTCCTGGTGCAGTGATGTAAACTTTTTGTACCAGAAATTATGAATGTTATCTACACCAGGTGTCTTCCAGTTGTGTGCTCTGTTAACAGTGTAGCGGATGTAGTGTATGTTTATTTCAGCACAGGGCATAGTTGGTATGTTGTGCAAGTTTCTGTTCTCCTCCTCGATCCAGCCTGCATCAGCATTGTGTAACAGCATTGGACCAAAGAGAAGACCAATAATTTGTGAGTTCTTCTTCTGTTGGTGTGCCACTGTGCTGTGTATCGGTGTTTGTTTTGTTACTGATTTGTCTGTAGAAAAGTTTTTCATTGTGAATAATTTATTTTGTTGTTTTCGTAGTGTACATGTTTTGTATCATTTGAGTCTACGTGCTTTGGCTGCGAGTTTCTGCTTTAGTGTATCGATGTATTCTGTAATGTGGGTGTTGTGATGTTCATGTTTTGTGCGTGTTTTGATTTTCTTGAAAATGATTTTGAGTTGTTTCTTTAATTTGGGTGTTATGTTGTTTTTAGTGTATTGTGTCAGCCTGCCTAATTGCTGTCTAATGTCATTTATTTGTGTTTCTATTCTTCTCTGCCAGGCAGGCTTGTGATAGAATTGTGTTTTGTGTGTGTCTGTCTGTGAGTGTATTTTCAGTCCATGGTGTGTTACTACTGTGACTGCCCCAGCATAAACTAATGTATGAATGTCTGAGAGTGTAGAAATTGAATGAATGTAGTTTGGTAGTAAGTGAGTGTTTACATAATTTAGTGTTTTCCCTACTACCTTTGACGTGTTGATTTTCGGTATTCGTGGTCTTTGTGTGGGATCTGTACCTGTATATTTAGTGAGTGTTTCCTGAAATATAAGTGAGAGCGTATTAACTAATTCTATGTCTATGTTATCAGTGATGGATGAGGAAGTGCCTGTAGTATCATTAGTGGTAGTTGTTGTATGTGTGCTATTATCAATGCTTGTTGCTGGATTATCCTGACAGGTTACGTGATCTTCATTAATGTTAAGTGTTTCTGTCTGTTGATGTATTTGATCAGCAACCTGTTGTTTGATAAGTTCAAGTGTTGTTTGTGGGATAAGGTTGTTGTGTATAATTGTTCTTTTTTGATCAACAACCCTTTGTTCGGTGACAGTGAGGTGAGGATATTGTTGTGTGAATCTATGATGTAGTTGTTGTCTGTATGCTGTCATGTTTGTTTCGAGTTTTGTGATGGTGTAGTAAGTACGGATGATAAACTCGTTCATTTCTGTTGTCCATTTCATCCGTTAACGTGGTCTTCCAGCCTTTGTGGTCTGTGGATGCATTGCCACAGAAACACCAAGGCTAGGTCGATTCCTCACATCTGTTGAGGGCATTGCAGTAGCCATGCTTGGGCCGGCGCTGCTTTCGCCACCGGTAACCAAGGGAGACTGTGGCCTATTTTTCGAACGTGAGCCTCTGCCTAACCCACGAACGCAGATCTTGTTAACCCGGGCGACGTCTGAGCCAGTATCATACTTAGATCTGGTTACTACCATGATAAATATCTCCACAGAATGTGGGTGTGGTCACTCTTAGCTTCATTTCTCCTCATAGACCTTACTAGCATGGGTGTCCCTACCAGGAGCTTGTGCTCCAGTCTGCATTGCTCTATAGTTCAGTAAAATTACTGTGCTCTCCCACCACGACCAGGTGGTGACCACGGGAGAGTTATTATTATTATTATTAATAAATTATGTTGTCATTATTCATTAACTATTTCAAAAAAATAATTTCAAAGTTCTATGCATTATCAAAAATTATTTATAAAGAAATTATAAAAAGTAAAAAGGTTGTACAGATTAAAAACCAATAATACATAAAAATTTAAAATGTTTACTAGGAAATGTAAAAGCAAAACAAAGTTTAATACTACATTTCTTAATGTAATAAGATAAGAACTCTATTGATTTTATTTACAAATCAGGAAAGAAATACATGATTCTCTTACACTCATATTCACAAATAGGAATCAAGAGTTAGAAGTTAATCAACAAGCATTTAAAAAGATAATTCATTCAGTATTAACATTTGCAGTTTAGCAAGCAACATCCCAAGTTTTGCTTTTTCATCTTAAGTAAATACAGAATAGATTATACAGTGAGTTCAAAAGGTTACTGTGCAGTAGAAAAGATTTAAGTAATCTTTTCCATAGCATACTAACTTTTCAGACAATCTTTAGTACTGCTTCATATTGGAATAATTCTTTAACACAAGTATAAAAGATAATTGTTTTATATATATTTATATATAACAGTTATTTCACTATATGTAATACAATCAAATGAAACCTATTCATTCTACTGAAAGTGAAGTGAATGGTAATTGGTTAATTTGTAACTCTAACACCTAATCTTTACTTTTGAATATGGCCATTAATGCAATAAAAAGAAACAAACAAAATGCATTTCATAAAATAATAACAATAATTTCTATACTTATTACAACTTTTTTNAATGCATTTCATAAAATAATAACAATAATTTCTATATAAAATATAAAAAATATTTGTTATGTATATAAAATATGAAAATTGTTAATTCACCTTCCTCATGCTCTCTTCTAAATTTTCTGTTGTTTCTGAAGAAGAAGTGAATGGAATTGGGCTACTTAATCCTCCTACTCGTTGTTTGAGAGATTTTGTTACAACAGCTAAAACACCTTCCCTGAAAATTAATATTTGAAACATTAAATAATTTATATATCATTAAATCATACTTAAAAATTACAAGTTAAAAGAGATTTACACCTCTCTTTTGCTTGTTGACTCTTAATCTCATTTAATTCTGCTTCCAATTTATCATTAAATTTTTTAAGTTTAATGAGTTCTTTTTCTAATTTACTAGATGAATTTCTAGTTGCATCTGCCATAGCTTCTATAAAAATAAAAACAAAAATAATGTTAAAAATTCAAATATTATATTTCTGAACTGTAAGTTTAAATCCTCAACTAATCCTAATCAAAATAAAAATGAGGGTTAATATAATACTATTATAATTTGTAAGATAAACACAATTAAATAAACTAAAGAACCAAAATATATATTTTTCACTTCCATAAACTTAATTTTATTTAATCAAATAGATTAAAAAAACACTGAATTGAAAATTTGAAAAATATTTTTCTTACACACACAGTTTTTGCAAGAATATCAATGAGTTGTACATTATGCGATATGCTTCTTGTCTAGTCTTATGTTCAAATATAAGAGCGTTAAGATGGCTTTTTCTTTTCCGCTAGACTTATTACACCATCAATGAACTGGAGGACAAAGTTTAAAAAGACTTTTTATTTATTTGAGTATGCATTTTGAATAATTATATAATTATCCAAAATGCATACTCAAATAAATAAAAAGTCTTTCTAAAGTTTGTCCTCCAGTTCATTGATGGTGTAATAAGTCTAGCGGAAAAGAAAAAGCCATCTTGAGTAGTATATTGTTTTCTTTCATAATTCGATAAAATAGAATTTTATAACAAGTAATATTAGACCCTTGTTTTACGTTTTATTGTGTAAGAATAATTCAAAACTTTTTGAACAAAGAAAAATTTAAAACTTTATTTAATTTCATTTCAAATTTACTTTATTAATGCATATATTTCTCACAATTTAACCTACTGCCATAAGGTATAAGAATTATAATTATTAGCTGTTAATTTTGAATAATTTTAAACAGACCTAATTTAAGAGAAATTGTTTTTAAATTTTAAATGCAATTTTTTCAACACAGTTCTTACATGTACAGCAATCTTTAATTTATTTATTGAATTTAAATTAAATAGATCTAATTTCAAAGTTGATTCACATAAAAGCTATTCTTCAATAAATAAATCACTCATTTGGCAGAGAAAACAGCATAAGAAAATTCTAAATAACTATTCAAAACATTGGTGGAAATGTAAAAAAATAATTCATTCAGTATTAATGTTTGCAGTTCAGCAAGCAACATGTTGCATGTTGTTAAAACATTTATAAAATCCTTCAATGAATGAATGGAAATTTTACAGAATCTACCATATAGCTGAGATTTGGTGTGATTTTTTCAGAAGAGAAGTATGAAATAAGTAAAAATCAACTATTCCTTTCTAAGAAAATCTTAATTCAGGGAATACAAAGTGATCAGCTGGAGCTAGCCAGACATATCTCCAGATGACTTGTTCCTGTTCTCCAAATTAAACTTTGCTTCAAACTGAAGAGTATTTCAATTTCAGAAATCCAAGAGGCTGTATGAAGGAAAATAAACAGCATTGTAAAAAGATCCTTTTATGAGAGCATTCATAAATTACTAGAGCTTGCAAAAAATTGTATAGATCACGGACAAGTATATTTCAAAAACTGACACTAAATTGAATTATTTCTACCAAAAAATTTCTTATTTATTGGGACCTTGAATAAGTTTTCACTGTTTTTTTGTGAAAATGAATGCTTTATTTAAAAAAAGTTGTAAAAAACATGTCACTGAAAGTATTGTCCATCGCTAGCCACTACTTTCTCCCATCGTTCTGGCAGAATTTGAATTCCATGTTGGAAAAACGACACGTCTTTTGGGCTATCCAAGAATCGACCCATTTTTTGGCATCTTCATAAGAATGGAAGTGCTGCTCAGCCAGGCCATATGCCATTGATCAGAACAAGTGATAATCAGAAGGGGCAATGTCTGGTAAATATGGCAGGTGGGATAGGACTTCCCGTTTAAGCATTTCCAAGTAGGTTTTCACCGGTTGTGCAACATGTGGCCGAGTGTTGTCACATTGCAAAATCACTTTTTCATGTCTCTGCTCGTATAATGGCCATTTTCCTTCAATGCGTGGCTCAAACGTATCAATTATATGTAATCAATAGCAATCTCCCATGATGGTTTCGTTCGGTTTGAACAGCTCATAATAAACTACATCCAGCTGATCCCACCAAATGCAGAGCAGAAGCTTCGAACCATGGATATTCGGCTTTGCCAACAATGTTGATGCATGGCCAGGCTTACCCCATGATTTTCTACGCTTAGGGTTATCATAGTGTACCCACTTTTCATCACCAGTCACGATATGATGCAAAAAACCTTTCCTTTTCTGCCGTTGAAGCAGCTATTCACACATGAAAAGATGCCATTTGACGTCTCTCAGCTTCAACTCGTACAGCACCCAATGTCCTTTCTTTTGAATCATTCCTAATACTTTCAAATGTTTTGAAATTGTTGTGTGATCGACTCTTAATGATTCTGCAAGTTCAGCGAGCATCTGATACGAGTCTTCATGAAGTAATGGCTCCAATTGTTCATCTTCAAACTTTTTGGTGTGCCAGAGTGTTCTTTATCTTCAACATCAAAAACCAATCTCTGCATGTTGTTTCTGACAGAGCATGGTCGTCATAAGTCTCAACAAGAATTCTGTGTGCTTCAGCTGCAGATTTTTTTGAAAAAAGTAGTGCAATAAAATTCCCCACAAATACTCTTTTTTTGGCACAAAACTCAACATGTTTAACAGTATAAAAAAAATTGTTTACACTTTGGTGAAATGACATACTGAATTTCAAGATTGCTTATCATACTTCCTTACAGATGCATCACCATCGAAACTACATGCACGCAGTACTGGTAACGCCATCTGTTAGAAAACAGCAAGAACTTATTCAAGGTCCCAATAGATTGTCTTCAAATTTAGTAGATACACTTTGAATGGGAGGAATGGAAAGTTTGTCATATTGTGAAAAGTATTTTATTTACATTGTTTTAACTTTTGTTCTCCTTTCTCTCTTTTTTTACAGAATTAAGTTTATGGTAATATATAACAACAAGAAAAATTATTTTTTGTTAAAAATAGAAATAAAAAAAATATTGTTTTTTGTAAAAAGTGTCATTTCTGCTTGTTTCCCCTACTGTTTTCCATCCTAGGAATATTTACAACATTTTACATATAAGTAATATTTATAATACCTTTCATTATATGTTGAAGTGATGCAATTTCTTCTTGGCATTTTTGTTTTTCTGCTTCTATTTCATTTTCTTTTTGACATTCTGCAATTGCAACTAGAGATTTAGATTCATTTAATTCTGTCTGAAGTTTAGATAATTCAGATTCTAATTTTTCTTTTGTTTGTAAAGCTTCTTTTAAAGCCTGTTTTTCTCTGTTGAGTTCCTCTAAAATATAAAAACGGAATTTAATATATTCTTTAATAAATACTAGCATTATGATATAATATTTAAATTTTTGTTATCACAATTAAAATACTAGATTAATATTGTTAATTAAATTCAATACACTATATAATTTTAAATATATGAAATAAACTATGTTATTTTAAATGTAACAATTCTTATTTAAACTTTCAAATGCTTTTTAGGGTTTGATTAAGTTTGTAAATCATATCTGAAGATAAGTTGAAAAAACTCAAAAAACATCTTATAAACATACTTCTTTAATAGAATAACATTTATTTTCCTAAAAAAATAAATTCTTATTCATATTTTCAGAATGCTAAAGGTATATCTTGCATGCTCTATTGAACTGAATATACTGTATACTGATAAGTACAAAGCAACATAAAATTCTTCAAAAGTTTAATTCTTAAACTTAAAAATATTACCACTTTTACTAATTGTAAGTTAACTTCAAATATTTGAATAAAAAATTACTGAATTTTTTGAGATTTAAAATGGAATAGAACAATATTTCAAATTAAATTAATTTATAGTTTTTCACAATTATAATATATTTATATATTTATTAAACTGCCAGCTTGATGGTGCCCCAATCGTTTTGAAGGATGGAGGTATACTGGCTGTGAGTAATGGTAATGCTGACTCATCGAAATATTTGCAGCTATGAGGTGATGCATCTTGTTTTGTGCATAGTTCTGAACTGTGTTTAACCCAGTCATCCTCTGTTGTTCAGCTGCCACTGCTGGTGGTACAATATCTGTGCCATAGTGGTCAATGAAGAGATGGTGGATCTGTTGCCAACAAATGTCTGGTGTCCTAGTCACCTCTTCAGAATACCAAGTCCGTGCATCTCCCAAAAGGTAAGCAATTAGGGCTTTGACTCTCTGCCTGGTCAGTTAGATTGCTGGAAACTCTCTGAAGAGATCCATCCAGATGTCAGCTCTTATGTGAGCAGTACTGCCACTGTAACATTTAAGAAGTGAGCCAACAAAGCAGTAAAAATAATTTTCATTATCAATGTTGATTGATCCTGATTTCCAGCTGCCTAAATCATTGCAGTGCTTGATATATCCCAAGTCATAAATATATGATAGTGAACTTCAGCCAATATTTCAGTTCTTAAATCAATGTGACTTTGGTGTATTTCCTGTCTTATTGCAGCCAATGCTTCAGTGATTGAGGGATGTAGAGAATAATGTGGTTCTCAATCCGTAGAGAACCATGATTTGATTTTTTTGTGGAACACTTCAAGCGTTCCATGAAAAAATCAAATATACAATTAAAAATTGTTGCAAAAGAAAAATCAATACAATGTAAAATAATTTTTGTAAAGAAATGTAATCAGCAAACACCAATGTTGTCATCTGCTAGAGTGAGTGAACTTGATTTCAAAAAGGTTTGCAACCCCTACTTTAAAGCTGATGTATTGTAAGTGTTCCGCAGAAATAAATGTCAAAGTTTAGTGTTCCCCGACTTCAAAAAGTTTCAGAACCACTACTCTAGACTAATAATCAAATCAAATTAATTTAATAATGAATATTCAAACAAGTGAGAATCAAATCATCATGACTGTACAAAAAACAAAGTAAGTTTGACTGAGTCTTACAATTGTTACTAGTGACACAACTACTTGACTCAGATCCTATTGACTGAGACAAATGAATTGGCATCAAACTGATTCAAACCAATAAAGGTCAAAACTCTAAAGTTGAACATGGCGACTTACCACAAGCTTAAGATAATCATCATTAGCAAAAGGCAGGAAACTTGAAAATGTCCATTAAGGGTCTAGGGACCTGGATGCCTCTCTAGAGACAATTGGGGTGCCACCAGGCTGGCAATTTAATATATTAAATTTTAATAGGAACATAACAACAATGCTTAAATAATGTGTTTAATTTATTAGCAAACCAAACTTAAAAAAATAAAATTTTTGAATAATTAACAACAGACATGAAATAAAGATAAAATAACATGATTACTTGGTTGACTAGTTCACAAGATAAAATGGTTAATGGCTTAGACCAGTGCTGTCCAACTTATCATAGCCCGCGGGCCATATTTTCTTCACCAAACATTTCGGGGGCCAAGAAGGTTGATAAACCACATGACATTTGCATAGTGCTACGGTTCAGTAAGCACTAATTGGTCAGCGAGTCCGATGTTGACGCTATAAAAAGGCGACAGTTCGACACACCGGATATACGTCACTCTCGTCTAATGTAAGTTCGACTTGGGAATTTTTTTGTTCAATAATAAATGTGAATTCTTCTTCCTGGAAAAATAAGACATTCCCTGAAAATAAGACCTAGCGCATTTTTAGAGCAAAAATTAATATAAGACACTGTCTTATTTTCGGGGAAACACGGTAGTAAAATAATTTTATTATTAATAATAATAATTTAGTAACATAAATTTATTCATAGTAAAATGTACTCGCGGGCCGTAAAAATTATTTGGCGGGCCGTATACGGCCTGCGGGCCGCCAGTTGGACAGCGCTGGCTTAGACAAAAAAAGAATAACATTATGCATTCTTTTCAATAGCATTAAAGGATTCCAAGAGGTTTCAAAACCATCATTTAATTACACATTCCACTAAGTTGGCTGATCAAGTAGTGATCATCTAGTGCAGGGATGGCAAACCTTTTTGAGCCTGAATGCCAAATAGTAAGCATATTTTGCTTTAAAAATGTTTATGCATGCCAAAGTTTTAGACTTTGAATAATGATATTTAAATAAATTAAACAAATATTCTTTAATTAGAATAAATGTAAAAATGCTGATTGAAAAAAAATAATCAGGTGGTAAACTGAAATGATGATTGAAAAAGATATATAATAAATCGAAATCATATAATACATTACATGCCAAATGATTTCTCCTTACATGTGACTTTGGGCATACGTGCCATAGGTTTGCCACCCATTCTAGTAGAATGCCTTTCTGAACAAATGTCTTTCTTGTGTTCTCATGTAGCAATATTTAAGAGCATCTACAGTATTAGTACACTATCTGGCAAAAAGTATCCACACACCCAGTAGTATGGACTCGGAGAGTCCTGAGGCATATATTAATATGATGTTGGTCCTCCTTTTGCATCGATGACAGCCTGTATACGTCTGGGGAGACTTTCCACTAGTTTTTGATAGGTGGCCATTGGAATTGCCTGGAAGTCAATTCCAATGGCCACCTATCAAAAACTAGTGGAAAGTCTCCCCAGACGTATACAGGCTGTCATCGATGCAAAAGGAGGACCACGGCTAAAGTGAGTGCTGGCAGTGAGGATGGTTGATGTGGCTGACTATGTAATCTGCATCCTAATTCATCCCAAAGGTGTTCTATGGGATTTAGATCGAGGCTCTGAGAAGGCCAGTCCAGTTTTTGAAAACCCATTTCATCAAACCATGCCTGCACAAGTCTCAATGTGTGAATGGAGCAGTTATCCTGCTGGAAGAGAAATGGGCTTTCCCCGAAATATTTCCATAGAGTTGGGAGAGCAGCATTCCAGAATGTCCACATACATGTTAGAGTTCATGTTTCCAACCACAGGAACTAAGGGATCCAGGCCAAACCATGAAAAGCACCCCCAAACCATGATGCTGCCACCACCAAACTTTACAGTCGGCACAATACAGTCACGTAAAAAGTGCTCACCGGGCATCCGCCAAACCCAGACATGTCCATGGTTGGTGATGGACTTTCAACTACCTATGGAACTGTGTTTATCATCTTGCATCTTTTGGTATCGGCTTAATTGGACTTAGCTACCTTTTTTAGGTATGCTTTGGTGTCTACTTGTCTCCATTTATTGTATTCTCTGTGTTTATTGTCCTTACATTTTCAGCTGTTTTGTAATCCGCGATTTCATCTGACATTGTCGGTCAACTCCTACTGTTAATCTCTTTATACTGTGTAAATAATATATGTCTCTGTCCCACGTGTATTTTTGTATACTCCAAATTACTATTGTCGCGCCTACCAATCTTGTAATTATATTTCTTTGTATGTAATTCTGTAATATTCCTATTGTTATTTTGTACTGTGTTATTATTTAATAAATGCGATGCAGGCGCCCACGGGTCCCATGACCCTGGCTACTTTTTCCCTCTATCCTATCTCACTTTACTTCTCCTTACTCTTACCCCTTCTTACACTCTCAACTCTTCTTCCTTTTCTAGTCTAAACATGGGCTATACCTCTGTGTGAGGCCCTTATCTTTCTCAGCACTGCCAGATTGTAAAGCAAGATTCATCACTCCAAAGAACACTTTTCCACATGTCCACAGTCCAATGACAGTGAGCTTTGCACCATTGCAATCAACGCTTCGCATTCTGGGGAGTGATGTTCGACTTGTGAGCGGCTGCATGACCATGGAATCCCAGGTTTTTTAACTCTCAACGAACAGTCCTGGTGCTAATACTGATGCCTGATGACCTTTGGAACTCCTGAGTGATTTCAACCAACAAGGACATGCGACTTTGTTTCACTATCCTTTTCAGGGTTCTATGGCTGTGTTCACTCAATTTCTTCAGCCTGCCACATCGTTTTTTCCACTTTCACTGCCTTGACGTTTCCACTTCACAATTACAGTAGAGCGTCGTTTATCCGAATCAATTGGGGACTGGGGTTGTTCGGATAACTTATTTTTCGGATAACTGATTATGCACGAAAAAATATATTAACCTATCCCATGTTGAAATTTTTCTCCGTTGCTTGTTGCTTCGCGTTGAATTTTCGTCGATGTTAAGCCTAATGTAAACTTTTTAAAATAATAATCGTGGCTATTGTATCGTTAAAAATTTTTTTATTTTTTACAAACAAAATTAATATATTGAAAAATATAAAAACAAAAAAATATATATATATATATATATACTTTAGAAGTTGATTTAAAGTATCAAAAATGTTCGATTCAGCACAACACACAGTCCTCAGAAAAACACCACACAAATATGCCAGTGCTGCCAGCTAAAACACACACACCAACAAAAAAAATATTGGAGTAGACCAAGATATAGCCAAAGATTGCAGCGCCACAGCACTAGCGAAAATTTAAATTTGCCTACTGGGATGCTTTCAGTTAACCGACGTTTCGGATAACCGACTTTCAGATAAACGATGCTCTACTGTACATCACTCACAGTGGATTTTGCTTCTGTACAATGTCTGAAGTTTCACAAACTGATTTCCCACAAAGATGGCATCCCACTATTATGCCACAATCAAACTCACTAAGCTCTTTTGACTTACTCATTGTCTCACAAATGCATAATTATGACCTGACAAAACACTACCAACACTTTCATACGTTTCAGTTACGCATCAACGACCATCACCTGCCAGAACCACTTCTTTAGGGGTGTCCGGATACTTTTGGCCAGATAGTGTATTACCAATGTATAAAAGTAAGTTAAAAGTCAAACTGCGTGCATAGTATCTTATATGTTCAAGCTAACTATTCTAAATTGAACACATTTCTATCTGTAACTAAATCTGCTATGTAAACAATGAAGACAAGTTTGTTATTGGCCTGATAGATGATTTTATGAAACATACTCAAGCATATGTTACCTGATATTGAAACAAGAAAGTTGTTTATTCTTATTTAAATTCCATAGTTTGACATACAAATGTTATAGGTAAATTTATAGATTATTTCACTTTGGAAAGAAGTTTATTAAAAATAAGAATAGAGTAGCAATATTAACAATTGCAGACTTAATAATGGTTAATTTTTCATGAAGCAGGTTTCTGTGAGGAACCAGGGGTAAATAAATCTCTACCACTTAATCGGCTACGGATCTAGAAGATCCACCGCAGAGTCATAGGATGACTTTAAAATGATGTTATAGATCAAAGATCGTAAAATCCCAATCTACAGTCAGGATTCCCAATAACAGTTAAACTATTGTTTACATTGCGGTTTAACTCACGATATAAGATAGTGAATAAATTAAAGTAGGAGGGCTTATTCCATGAGTGGGGAGGATATGCAGGTAAGTGATAAGACTTGACATAGAGCTGAGTTCAAAGACAAGACCATATTTAATTAACAAACAAGATTTAATAAAGATTAACAAAGTAAATACAGATATATGGAGAGAATAACATTTCTTAACCTAATCACGAGAGTAAGAAAACCTAGGGCTATTCCTCGCGAGAGAGAGAGTTTACAAGTATATTATAAATCGTACTACCTTATGATATAAGTTGGTCAGTAGTCTTCTTCTGTAACGGGAGATGGAGGATAAATTAGTCAGGACCATCTTCTTTATGTATATGCACAAGTTAAAATATGTTGAAGAGATCTTATGGCAGCTGATTGCCTCCTATGGCATCTTCATGGTTTCTAGGACTGCCTTCTGTGGCACCTTCATATTATAGAGGACTGCCTGATTGGTGGGAAAACTATCCTTTTATCGGGCTCTCTGACCAATGGCATAAAATGTTCCATGATTACAACGGGATGCACGATGATGTGTAAAGGGGGTAAAAATACAGATGGTGGTCAGAATTACCGATAAAGTCCTATGGGAAGGAAGTTGATTTCCCATTTCTCGAAAACACGATGAATGTAACTTCCCTTTTTGTGAACAATATGTAAGAAATAATATATTTCCTTATACTAAATAACCTAATAAATCCTGATTCTCACATTTCTATTTCAAGAATAAAGTAAAGCATATTTAATAATTGGATAAATAGCCAAATACGATAGTTTGTATTGAAACATGTGTTAGCCTCTGATCTAATGGCTGCCATATATTGCAATCACCTTGAGTTTGCCCTATACTGATAACAATAACAGAGTAATAACATTATGCAATGAAATTAATTATACCACAATTAAATGAAAACATTATTTTACAGATTTTTGATAAAACTATTCTATTTATACATTTTTTGGTAAAATTTAAAATTTATTCAATATAAAACATAAATTAAAGCATAAGTGAATAAACTTGCCTTCTTTTTGAATAAAAAGATCCTTCAATTGTGCTCTTTTCTGACCAAATTCATTTTCCATTTCTTGTTTTTCATGAACAAGTTCCTTTTCTCTTTGTCTGAGCTGCTGTACCAATTTATGTAATGATTCCACATCTAAAATAAAAAGTTAACTTTATAATTATAAAATTATTATTATTATAATAAGTTACTTTTCCCCCAGAAGCTAATTTGTATAAACCTTTTTCCATTCAGAAAGCATTAAAACAAATAGAATTACTTTTAATATTTGAACTGTACATAAATCATGCATATAATCTGACAACTTATAATATATTTTAATATGATAAGTTATTAGAGAATCTATACAGATTTTTAATTTAGAATAATATTTTTTTAGTATCACTATATATAATAAAACTATCCTTTTTTTTAGGTAACTTTGAAAATATTCCTACATGAATTTTTCTCAAGCAATCAATCAAACAAACATTTTCAAAAAGTATTTCAAAATGCAATTTTAAATTTCTCTATTTTGTTAAGCTGTTTTGTTAAAATACAGTTTTTGTTTATTCAAATAAATACAATTTTTAAAAAGTTATAAGTTAAAAGTTTATTCAAGAAATCATGTTAAATCTGAGTACAGTGAAAACTGTTTAAGCAGGATTCTCAGTAAGATGAAAACCAACTTATTACAAATTTTTCCCCCCATATCATACAATTGTATATTATATAATATGCATTATAATGTAATTTTGTCTGCATAAGCTATTGCTTAACTGTTTAACACAAACATGGAAAGCAATTTAAATCTGCAAAAGGTAAAACAATCTGCTTAGATGGGAGCCAGAATAAATAATGAGCAAAAACCATGTGCCTGATAATGTTACCTATGTATTCTTACCATTTTCAGATCTTACTGTTGGCTTAAACAAAAAAATCATCAATGTGTAGTACAACTTCACAGTATCAGTTGTTATATTACTGTAATCAGAATGGCAAGAATGTCAGGAAAAAAGATGAACACACTAAGTTTGAAATCTAAAATCAACTTATAAATAACAAAGAACAACAACATTTAAGTGTATAAAGAAGTCTGCAGAAAATTTAGTTGTGAAAAATGCAAGTTTTTTTGCTTTGTTTCTCAGAATTTGATAAACTTGCATTTTTCACAACTAAATTTTCTGCAGACTTCTTTATACACTTAAATGTTGTTGTTCTTTGTTATTTATAAGTTGATTTTAGATTTCAAACTTAGTGTGTTCATCTTTTTTCCTGACATTCTTGCCATTCTGATTACATTAATATAACAAATGATACTGTGAAGTTGTACTACACATTGATGATTTTTTTTTGCTTTGCTTTTTTTTGCTTTGCTTTTTTTTTTTGCTTTGCTTTTTTTGCTTTGTTTCTCAGAATTTGATAAAGTCAAATGGCTAAGTAGTAAATATCAGGGAGATTCAAAAGGAAAAAAAGAGAAAAACTGGAAATGAAACTTAATGAATAGTAAACAAATGGTTTATAAATGTGAGATCATGTAATATTTCAATTTCAGGACCTATTCTAGAAGGGAAATCTAGAATTATCACACAATGTTCAAAGAATGTCATTTAAGGCTTCTAATGATTGGCTTGAAAGCTCAAAGCCTGACACAAAATAACTTTCAAGCAAATTTGTGAGGACACTAAAGATGTTGACCTGACAATAGTAGAAAACTGGAAGCAGAAATTGACTGAATTATGTAAGGACTAAGAGCCAAAAGATGTTAATGGTGATGAAATAGAACTATTTTTTCAAGCTCACCCAAGTAAAACTTTGAGTTTAAAAAAAGGTAAATGTGTCAAGAGAAGCAACCAATTCACAACTCTCTTGTGCACTTTTGCTGATGGAACAATGGAAAAGCCACTAGTCATAGGAAAGAATCTCAAACCTAGCTGCTTCAAAAATCTTATAGTCAGGATACCAGATATACATATTTTCATCTTGATTCTCCATTAGGATATATTTCAAAAAATTAAATTTTTATTCCAAAATGCAGATGCAATGTATACAAACTATTATAATAATTAGTAAGGTGTTATAAAAATAATTAACTCAAATGCAGTTAGACAGCATTGCATGATGCAGAAAACAACAAATACTTTAATCTAATAAAAAAACTCATTTTTATTGTGCAATTTAATTTAAACACAGTGTAGTTTTTGTTTTCTAACTGCAAAAATTAGTTTTTATGAATTTGTCTTAATGTATTAACATATTCAATTAGAGGCTTGTGCTCTCATCTTTAACAAGAAAAACTTTATAGGTATAGGTCTACACAATTTCCATCTTGAATCAAGAATCCAAACTAAAAATTGTATAGACCCTATACCTATGAAGTTTTTCCACATACATGATTTTGGTACTATGTATACCAGAGGAATAACTAAATTAATGAAATGATTCTTAACAAACATAAACAGTAGGTAAAACTTAAAGAATGCTAACATTTTTGACCCAGTTAATGGACAATCTTCAGGCATGGATAGTTTATGGTCCATTAACTAGATCAAAAATGTTAACAATCTTTAAATTTCAACCACTGTTAAAAGGTGTATTGATTAATTCAGCTGAGTAATCACATTGGTTAGTTCATCCTCATAGACAACAAAATTAAGCATTAAACTTATTTAGCATATAAGCTGGTTAACTTTATCACACAGTGTTACCATATTTTCGCAAATTGTCCGGCATGTCAGTCTATCCAGAGGAGACCATAAAATCAGGTATTTCCACATGGTAAAAACTGGCATGTCTGTTTATCCCAGGTAATACAGGCATACCTGTTTAAGTGAGGTTATGAATCCCTTTCTAGAGAGTGCATTAAAAAAAAGAACAAGTTACATCATATAAAAAGAAATAATTTTTTATTCTAAAACTTATTACAAGGGTTATCACCACCAGGGCCAAAACACATACCCACTCCAAAGTTATTCTAAAACTGTGAAACTGTCAGCATTACATCAAAAATTGCAATTATGTGTTTAATTTCTTCATTTTGTCATCTCTCTAAACATGTAAAATACTCATGGAATTCTAAAAGTGCTTTTTTTATGTTTATTTTATTGTAATTTGATTCAAAAATACAAAAATAAACATATCAAATTTAAGAAACTTGCTGTAAGTTATCTCAACTTACACTGATTAACATCTGCTTTGTGCGAAATTTGAGAGAAAGGTGTTATTTTTAAGGTCAGAATAGATAGATGATGTGTAGACCACACTGACTAACAACAACTACTACTACTAATAATAATAATAATAATAATAAGTCATTAATTGCTTTATTGTCTTGTAAATAAAAACTTTCTTCCTAATTTTAAGACAGTCAAAAAATGTTATTATTTCATTGTACCCAGAAGAATTTTTTTAACATTTAATTAACAATTAATTTTGTTAGATATGATTCATTTTATATTTTAGTTGCAGTTTAACTGGCATGCCGGTCTCCCCCATTTATATGCGGCATGCTGGTCATTCTGCAAAAATACAGTAAAACACACAAAAGACCAGTGGCATGCCAGGACATTTGATGATAGAGAAGCTGTGTTTCTTAATTATTTAACTACTTCTTTAGTAGAAATAAGTCAAAACCGGTTACTTTGTACTCGAATATTTGTAGTCTCGGGAAAAAAGTGGAAAGACAAATTTTTACGACAAACAGATATGTAAATCGTAAATTTAAGGAAAAATAAATTCTAGAGCTTTTTCTGTACCTTGTGCATCTCTCTCATTCATTAAATTTAGTTGTAAATGATGCTGTCAAAGTAACAGTTAATTGTTTAACATTATACAAGAATTGTACACGTTTTTTCTACATCCCCTTAAAGATGGAATATATGAAATCGTAATATCATTGGTTTAACATTGAAATCTGTGAGTAATATAAAATCGGAGAGCAGAATAAAAATATCAAATATTTTAATGGATTTTTTTAAACTCCCGTCAACTATACAGAACTATCATAAAAATATACCAGTAAATTCTTATCGGTTGGGTTAAGTTATAAATCTACTCATGATTTGCGTAATCGGGCGAGGACAGCCAAATATCTAGCGGGCAAGCGGCTAACAGCCCAGAACCGGTCCTGGATAGAACTGGATGCAATATACGTGTAGCATCCACCCAAGGTCCTAGACTTCCACCAGCTAAACCGGGTGAGGTTGGTGCTCTGTAAAGCACATGCATGAATCTGGCTGTTTGGAAACTGACAATACGGTGATTCCACTCCGCCACTAATATTCGAATATACAATAGCAATCTTATCTTTTTTTTTTTTTTTTCACNTATAGAAATTTATAATAAGATACATAATGCAATTATAATAAAATATTGTGCAATTATTTTCATATAATTAAAATTAATATGTATTTATTTTTAGAAAATACAAGGGAAGCGGCGCATCCACTGATTCTAATGATGGCACGCCACTGTAAAAGACCATACAAAAGGATGCTCTTGAAGACTGTTTATCAAGCTATTATAGTTAGTTCCAGATTATAACTGTACCATGATTTGAATTTTGTTAGAATTATAAAACAAAACATACAAACACATCATATTTCCTAATGAAACTGGTGAAATAATCTGCTACAATCAATAAACATTGTTATATATAATTTATTCATTGTTTATAGTTGTTTTTGCCACTAATTTATGCTTTTCTCTGTTGCTTATTTTGTTTAAATCTATTTGAAGCTTTTATTTTGTTTGTGTATTAATTATTCTAGAATGTTCTCTTCAAAGTATTCACTTCAAAACAAAAATGAAAGCAATCATCTACGGTACAGAGAAATTCATTTTGTTGTACATAAATTTTCAAACACTAACCTGTTTTAAGCCTTTATTCATTAGGCAAGATGATATAAATGAAGTAGAAAGAAATGACATTGACAAAGCTACTTTAATTAAGTAATTAACTAACCAAACTTAGATACAGAAATTTTTTTATGTTAATTTCAATTTTATTTCTGTTAACAAAAAGTTATACATTTTTATTTTCATAATATTGCATCAGTTCATAAATTTGATTTATAGATTAAATAAAAACTGAAGAGTGTTTAAAAACATTAAAACAAAGGCACGATAAAACTAAAACTCTTATATTTCTAAATTAT